GTAGTGACAAGTCCAGGTTTGGGCTTTGTTTTTCCAGCAGGAGTTGGACAACACCGTGTTTGAAGTAGCCTGGAACACAGCCTGATAGCAAAGAGCAATTTAGAGGGACCGCAGAGGAATCGATAGAGTCAAAGAGTTTAACAAATTAGATTGTGGGTAAAATATCAGCTGAGCTTATTGAGGGTTTCATTTGGGTTAGTATTTCATAAATAACATCCCCAGAAACCAATTCAAAATTGTGGGATGTCTGGCATCATAACTAAAATGACTATTAGACCATGATTTTCTTAGAAATAATAAATTAATGGGGAAACCACGCACTGAAGCTGCTTTTGTTCAGGTTTTGGCAGCAAATTTCTCTCTTTTTTTCAGGTGGCGATGCAGAGCAATGGTTCTACTTCATGCCCTGGCAGAGTCCAGATTTACAAAAACTCTCCATGCCTAGAGCTTCACACGTTTGTTCCACTGAAGAAGAACAAACCATTTACATGTTGTTGTTTTGTTAGTAAATTTAACATAAACATCTATCCAGATATTTACACAAATGAATATAAAAATGCAAATCCTTCTATAATAGTTAACTGTATTATTTCACAGTCTATAACGAGACATGGAGTGTTTGGATAGTGTTGTTAACATTGAAGTAAACTGAATGCAGCTCAGTGTCCATTATAACAGCTGAACCCTCAACATTCCTGCATGTTCCTACGTTTTGAGTTCATACAAGTTTTTCTGGGGGGGTTTCTGCCTTGTGCTGCTCTCAATAGTAGCAATAGTCCAGTAAATGAGGCATTCAGGGACCCATCTGTTAGGGCCAGCCTGACGTCAGCTGGGCCCATACACACCAAGGGATCACTTGGGCCTTATGGGGGCATGCACATATAAACACACACACAAAGTTTCCACAGATGCATCCTTTTGTAGTTCAAAATGGGGGAAAAAGTGATCCAAATTGTCACAAGAACAGGGCCATCAGATGTAATGTGGAGATTTACAGTTGAGTACACATGGAGGAATTTATATACGGTCTGTGACCTCTGTACAAAAAGATATGTCCAGTGGCTACAATTTACTGGCTGATTTCAAAGGGGAAAAATTTGCGTTTGGTGTGCTAGCAACCGAAGAAAAAGCTTCATGACAGCCAGACTTTCCAGGAAAGATTTGGAGATTGCCCGATCAGTGCTTTCAGTTTGCTTCATTCTAAGTGACAAAGTATCAATAGCTCATCGTGTTCAGCAGCAAAGAAAATATTGCCGTGAAAATGTATGCATCATGCTAATGTCACAATAAGCCAAACAGAGCCAAGGCAGCAGAGAAATAAAACTAATAAAAATTGCTAAAATATAATTTATTTACCATAGAAACAAACAATAAGACAACGGCCAACAAGAACTTAATTATGTAGAAACAATAAAACAAAAAAGTTCCATTGGCCT